AAATTGTTCAGCGCCATCGCCATCGCCCTCGCAGCCATCATCACCATCGCCACCATCATCATGCACATCGCCAGCATCATCATCACCACCATCATGACCATCAGTTACGTAGTCATTACCATCCTCACCACCACACTTATAATCATCACCACCATCATCATCATGAACATCGTCATCATCAACACCAACATCACCGTCATGACCACCTGTATTATCACCATCGCCATCATCATCACCGCCAGCACCATCACCACCACTACCATCATCAACGCCCGAGTGATATCTGTCACACTCCAGGCGGTCCATATATATATACACACATACAAGCATGAACCAGCTGATATCTATTGAGTCAAAGCTACTCGCCCGCCCGAAGCCCTAATTTTCCAGACTATTATATGATTCAAGTTTATTCGAAGTTACATTGAGGTTATTGTTCAGAGGCCGGCGCGGCGCGCGGCCCCGCGCTCCCGAGGTTTATTCGCCAGGGCGTGTTCAGGCGTGGTAGAAAAATGAGACTCATGACCAGGTCAGCTATGGACTTGATCACGCGCGATGCGCACGGTACCCCACGTTGCTTCGACTGGGAGACGATGGCCGCGACAGCATAACAAACCATCGAGAGTAAAGCGGCCCTATTGTTAACTGTAAGCCCAAAGCTCGCGGCCTTCAGCAGCTGCCAGGTTGTCAGCTCGAACAGGCTGGGGCCAGACAAGCTGAGAAATGTCGGACCATGGCATGCAGCACTTCAAATGTAATTGAACTGTGTGAGACACAAAAGCACTTGGTTTGATTTCCTCTTCAAACACGTTGCTAGGGCCTGGAATTTGACCGCGTCACCGCTGCAGAGTGTGTCACTGCGTGCAGGAGCACAGACGCATCGCGACGATTTGCGGGGTGAGAAATCATAGCCGGCTTGAAACGGGAAAGGGGGTACCCATAGAGAAAGTTGCCAAGATTATGACCAACTGCCCCTATAAGGGAAATAGGCCTTCAGCATGATGCGTCACGGCCAACGTCGACGCGAAGTATCGGGATGACCGAACGAAGAGATCAAACGTATACCCAGGCTGGACATGTCGATTTCTCCATGAAGGACTGTTAACCAACTAGCGCTCGACGACAGCTCAGGCTGCTCCTTCAGCAAGGTGGGGCAGCTCAGGAAACGCGAGGTTAGTGAGAAAGCCAAGGAGGAGGAATGCTGGGGCGTTGCTGGTTATGCTCCCGCTGGCGCGAAGTCGACTGGCATGAACAAAGGTGGCGAGGTTTATCCCGAGTGCCGAGCCTGCCTGGTGGCTCAACAAGTTCCCTTTCCAAATACCAAAGCATGTTTGCAGCTACTCGTTCGTTTGAAACACAGGAACTGTTGTTATCATGGTGGTTGCCGAGGGAACAGGGCATGACCGAGGGGGTCGCGAGGAAGGGTTCAAACTTGAACTTGTAGATGTCAGGCGCGCACACCTGTGCGCCGCGGCCATCTTCAGTAGGCAGCCCGGAGGGATCGCGAACCAGGTGCGAGTGGAAGTTTGCTAACGTCCATGACGTCCATGTGGGGGGAGGGGGCCGATGACGTCACGTTTCGCGCCGGCGGCGTCTGGGAATGTTTAGGAATAGCCGAGGACGGGTAGCAGCAGCGTGCAAGTGGCGATTTGCACCTCAGCGCTTATGTACACCACAGTGTTTGCGTGCGCCACGGCGCCTGTGTACACCACGCCGCCCATGTACATCACAGCAACCGCGTGCAACACAACGCCAGCGTGTGACACAGTGCCTGCGTGCACCGCAGCGCTCGTGTACACCACAGCGCCTGCGTTCCCAACATCAGCCGTGCGCAGCACAGCCACAACGCCTGCGTACACCGCGGCGCCCGTGTGAACCACAGCAACCGTGCGCAACATAACACCATTGTTGTATATATGATCACGGGCTCTGGGCCCACGGCCCCCCCCCCCAGATGGCATGGTCTCAGGATTCCTCGGGCCCCCCCCCCCAGATGGTATGGTCCCAGAGACGACGACGATGACGACGACGACGACGACGGCGACGACTACGACGACGGCGACGACGACGACGACGACCACGACGACGACGACGGCTGCGGCGGCGACGACGCCGCCGGCGGCGGCGACGACGACGACGATGACGACGATGACGACGGTGACGACGACGATGACGACGACGACGACGAGGACGACGACGACGACGACGACCTCTGAACCAGCACAGCACCACACCACATCCACAGGGGGGGGGGAGGGGGGCACCGCAGCGCAGCACCACGCCACGCCCACCTCTGAACCACCACAGCACCACACCACATCCACAGGGGGGGGATGGGGGCACCGCAGCGCAGCACCACGCCACGCCCACACGGGGGAGCGGGGGAGACCATCGCGCGGGGGGGGGGGGCCCAATGGCATCAGCATTGGGGGGGGGCCCAAGCCCTGGACCATATATGGTTTTTTTTTCGACCGAGCCCGTATGACAAAATGGAGCGCCTGTGGATTCCATTGTAAATCTGCGTCTTATATAGGATTTGGAAAGGAATCCGCATCGGAAAAAGCGCCGCCGGAACCTAGGAGCCTTGCCGAGTATTCCCGCCATGCGCGTCCAGAAAACTTCCGTTGATTGGCCGTCCGAGCCACATGGTCTGATTCAATCGACCATTTTGCGGTGCACGACACGCGCACGTGCGCTGTAGCGCCAGACCGCACGACGGGGGGAAAGGTGACAAAGGAGGAGGAAGAGGAGGAGGTGGAGGTGGAGTAAGAGGAGGAGGAGAGGAGGAGGAAGAGGAGGAGGAGGAGGAGGAGGAGGGGGAAAAGGGAACAACATCACATCCTACTGTCAGCAATTATTTGGCGTGGTGTTTAGCTGTCCGCAGCAGATCCTCACCCACATGATCATTTTGTTTGTCCTGTGCACGCAGGCGTTGTGGTGTGCACCAGCGTTGCATTGCACGCTGATGCTGGGATGTATACAGGCGCCGTAGTGGGCACAGGCGCTGCGGTACACGCAGGCACTATGGTGTACACAGGCGTGTGTTGCACATGGTTGCTTCGGTGTACACTTTCGGTGTGGTGCACACAAGCGCTGTGGTGCACGTAAGCACTGTGGTGTACACAGGCGCTGCGTTGCACATGTTGTTGTGGTGCACGTAAACGCTGTGGTGTACACGGGCGGCGGTGCACGCGAACATTGTGGTGTACACAGGCGTTGTCGTGCAGATCGGTACCTGCATGCTGCTTCGACTTGGCTTCGGTCGTCCCTATGCATTAATGGGCGCCGTTGGCGCGGAACGTGACGTCATCTGGGAAGGGGGGGCTGGACCGATGACGGCTGCCACCCTGGAAAGTGGAAAAACAGATTCCACTTGGGAAAGCAGTCGCGTTGATTTTGCATGTGATTTTTGTTTTGACAATGGATAGGCGTCGCCGTGTTCGTCCAAACGCAAAACCGTGCAAATTTTGGTAGCGGTTCGTGTTGATGATGTTATTTCGCCGGGCAAATATGCTGACCCCGATAGGCTTGCATGTTTTCATGACAGAAAAACGGACATCGAAGTTAAATTCTAGGGCAGATTCGGACCAGGATCTTGAATTGGGTTGAGGAGTGGAACTGGGAAGGGTTACGGTATGAGGCTGATCAAAGGCATGATGATATATCAGTCAAATAGTTCGGCGTGGAACAGTCCGAAACGTTACCTTGCGGAGGGGAAGACGAGACACCAGCCCCAAAGCATGAAGTTTAAACATGCAAGTGTTGGTGACCAGGGCAAACATATCAAGCACAGGGCCGCCCGGACCTTTTGTTTTCAGTTGAAGAATTTACACGTTCTATGGCGGCCCCAACTCGGGGAGCATGGACATGTTATACATATATATATATATATATCCACGCTGGGCAAGAACGTCACGAGCCCCAGCAGGCGTGGGTATTAATACTCGTGCCAAGAACGCCCTAGGGAGTTCACTGTATAGACAGACGGCGGCTCTGCAGGATGCAACATGACACCTAAATTGACAGGCGGAGGAACAGAGGGTCCCAGCTTGATTAAACCTTTGAGTTTGGCACAGAGTATAGTGCGGTGATAGTTTGGGGAAGTGGGGTCTTACGGAATGTGTAAACGTGTTTTATTGTCGTTTGGACCGCAAGCGCTCCTCATGATCTTCGAATCAGATGGCCATTCTATATGTTTACATATAGAAAAAACCATGCGAGCGCAGCCGCTGCCATATCGAACAGGTTCGGGTTGTGAAACGTCAGGCACATCGAAGTCTGCCAACTTTGGTTACAAGAGAAAAAGCGAAGAGGCATCGTAGCGAACAGGGTCGGACTAAGTGTCTGAGCCGAGATGCCATGTCCAAGCACATGCGAGGTACCAGCCCACATCATGCTAATTGACAATGTTCGCTGGCGTTCGTTGCGGGGTGCTAGCTCAATCCAAGTGAGACCGGGGTTTCATCGAGAGTCGCTTGTGCTACAGACTACGTTATTCGTGTTGCGTGGCTTTGTGATTGGCGACACGTTGAACTAGTGCATCGCGTTTTCGGACGCCCCTGCACGTTCGCGCCAACGCATGATCGCCTTCTGCTTGCACCAGTCATGCGTTGAATTGTGTTGGCCTTTCACAACTTGGGCTGCTAGGATGGAGTCTTGGGTTCGTTGCGTTGTCTACAATTCGGTTCAGAATTCATCCGCTACCCAGCCGCTTTTGCTGTTGAGATATTTGCCATGGCCACATTCAATGTATCAGCCGATGAGGAGGGGGTCGATAATAGTTTTCCGACTGGGTGAGCAAGGTCAGTTGGTGAGATTGGTGCGGTTTACTGTGTTATGTTTGCCCTTGCGTTATTTTCAAAGAGGAGGAGGAGGAGGAGGAGGAGGAGGAGGAGGAGGAGGAGGGAGGCGGAGGCGCGAAACACGAAAGGAGGAGGAGCCGAAGGAGGGAAGGGCGGAGAAAAGGAGGGCGGGAGGACCTGCCGCGGGCCGCGCGGCAGGCGGCGGCTGCCCTCGCGGCGCGACCAGGGCCAGTCAGCGTGAGCGTTGGCCTCGCCGCTCGGCCTTACCGCGCGGCGGCAATCGGCTGCACGAGAAAGGAGCCCTTCGCCAGAGTGACGCGTGGTGCTGGGTCGGACGACGGGGGGATTTGAAACCTGCCGTGCGCTCTCTTCGAGGCGTTGGCGCCACTGAGCCACAGGAGGCGTTGCGACAATGAACTCGTCGCTAATCGCCCGTTGCCAACATCCTTTCTCGTTCGACCCGACCTGTGCGGGCCCACGGGGGTCTCGAACATGATAACCGACATGGACAAAAGTTTCTCGAGGTCCGCGCGGGCTTCTTGGATGGCCCCTGGCGGCCCGCCGCCCCTGGCGCGTGCCGTGCGCCAGGGAGGGCGTCTAGCGCCGATCCAAGAGATCCTAGCGGGCTTCCGAAGTTCCTGTTTTCGCGTTGTGTGTTTCTCGATTTGACACTTGGGTCGGGCTCAGAGGGGTTCCCCCGACACTGGCTGTCGCGTCTGGATTTGGCCTCTCCGCGATCCCTTGGAGCCGTGTGCCAGAGGTCTCTCCTGCCCATGGTCATTCCTGCGTGTAGCCGAGGCCACCGCTTGTCGGACGTGGGGGTGCGGGAACACGTATCCAGGCGCAGGAGCCAACCTTACGCAGTTGGGAGTAACGCAGCTGTGAGTAGCGTCCTCGATGGAATTCCACATGGGTCCGCGGGTGACGGGTGCGCCGAAATGGGCGTGGGTACGCCATGCGGGCGCTGCCACGTGGGCCTCTCGGGGGCTCCACATGGGGCCACGGGGCGTGTGCGGGGTGCGCCGACCTCGGGGGTAGAACACGTGGGCGCTGCCGCTGGAGATCCTGGTGGAGCTGCCTGTGGGGCCACGAAGCGTGTGAGGGGTGCGCCGAGGTGGGGAGTGGAACCGCATGCGGGCGCTGCAATTGGGCTTTTCGGTGGAGCCACGAAACGCGCCGCGATGCATGGTGGAACCACATGCGGGCGCTGCCGTTGATGCCTTCGGTGGAGCTTCCTATGGTGCGTCGAAGCGTGCGAGTGGTGCACCAGGATGGGGGTGCAATGCGGGCGCAGCAACGGGTGCCTTGAGTGGTGATCCTTGTGTGGACACGAAGCGTGTGAGGGGTGCGCCGGCACGGGGCGGTGCACCGCATGCGGGCCCTGCCATTGGGGCCTTCGGCGGATGCGGGCGCTGCCATTGTGGGCTTAGGCTGTGCTCCCTATGGGGCCACGAGACGTGTGAGGGATGCATCGAAATTCCGCATGGAGCCAGATGTGGGCGCTGCCGCTGATGCCTTAGGTAGAGCTCCCCATTGTGCCACGAAGCAAGACTGCTCCGACATGGGGGGTGGAACCGCATGCGGGCGCTGCCATGGGAGCCTCGAACTGTACACAGAAATGACGGTGGAACTGCATGCGGGCGCTGCCATTGGGGCCTTCAGTGGAGCTCCTTTTGGGGCCACGAAGCGTCTGAGGGGTGCGCCGAAATGGGGGGTTGAACCGAATGAGGGCGCCGCCAGTGGGTCCCTTGGTGGAGCTCCCTGGGGTGTGCTGAAATTGGAGTATGGAACCACATGCGGGCGCTGCCACTTGGGTTCTCGGTGGATCTCCCTTGGAGTCACGAAGCGTGTAAGGGGCGTGCCGAACGCACATGCGGAGAGCAGAGGCAGGGGTAGGAGGACGGAGGGAAGAGAGGGGGAGGAGGAGGAGGAGGAGGAGGAGGAGGAGGAGGAGGAGGAGGAGGAGGAGGAGGAGTAGGAGGGGGAGGAGGACAAGGAGGAGGTGGAGGAGAAGGAATAAGACGCTGAGCGATGCGGGTTCAAAACTTGGACCCAACACCACAGGATGGATGGGACATCACATGGCGTAAGACACGCATAAGCGTGGGTACGTGTGTATGCGTACATGTATCAGAGTGAGGGGGGCCGAACTGTCATTCATTGTTCCTGGGTGCGTTGCTGAAGTGAGATACCGTGGTGAGGATTGTGCTTGTTGCGTTGTTGTTTTTTTTAGTATTGTTGTTATTGTTGTTGTTGTTGTTGTTGTTGTTGTTGGTGTTGGTGTTGGTGTTGGTGTTGGTGTTGGTGTTGGTGTTGGTGTTGTTGTTGTTGTTGGTGTTGGTGTTGGTGTTGGTGTTGGTGTTGGTGTTGGTGTTGGTGTTGTTGTTGTTGTTGTTGGTGGTGTTGTTGTTGTTGTTGTTGTTGTCGTCGGTGTTGTTGTTGTTGTTGTTGTTGTTGTTGTTGTTACTAGCGACGCTTGCTGGCGCCAGTATACACGGAGTTATCGAACTCGATTCTTCCGTGTATCCGATACACGGAGTAATCGAGTGCGATTATTCCGTGTATCGGATATACGGAGTAATCGAATGCGACTACTCCTTGTATCCAATGTACAGGTTCCATGAGGAATCCAATTTGAATATGCCTCGGGTACACGGAGTAATCTAGTGCGATTTTCCGTGCATCCCATGCGCAGGTCCCATAGGAATACAATTCGAGTCTGCTTTGGACACACGGAGTAATCGAGTGCGATTGCTCCGTGTATCCAATATATGCAGGTTTCAGTAGGAATCCAATTCGAATCTGCCTCGGATACACGGAGTAATAGAGTGCGATTATTCCGTGTATCCAATATACAGGTTCCGATAGGAATCCACTTAGAATTTGCCTCTGATACACGGAGCAATCGAGTGCGATTACTCCGTGTATCCAAGATGCAGGTCCCAATAGGAATCCAGTCATAATCTGCTTCGAATACACGGAGTTATTGAGTGCGATTTTCCGTGTCTCCAATCTGCAGGTTCCGATAGGAATCTGATTATAATCTGCCTCGGATACACGGAGCAATCGAGTGCGATTACTCCGTGTATGCAATGTATGCAGGTTCGAAGGGGAATCCAATTAGAATCTGCCTCGGGTACACGGAGTAATCGAGTGCGATTACTCCGTGTATCCAATATGAAGTTTCCATGAGGAATCAAATGAGATACTGCTTCGGATACACGGAGTAATCGAGTGCGATTATTCCGTGTGTCAATATGCAGGTTCCAATAGGAATCCAATTAGAATTTGCTTCGGATACACGGAGTAATGGAGTGCGATTGCTCCGTGTATCCAATATGCAGCTTCCAATAGGAATCCAATCATAATCTACCGCGAATGCACGGAATAATCGAGTTCGGTGGCTCCGTGTATTCCCCAATCAGAGCTTGCTTCTGTAGGGGTCCTAGCGGGTTTATATGGTTAGGTTAGGTTTGTCGCCGATTGTCGCGGCACGCCCGGGGGCCCGGGGGTACCCGGGTGCCCGGGGGTGCCCGGGGGTGCCTGGGTGCCTGGGTGCCCGCGGGTGCCCGGGCGTGCTTGGGGGTGCCCTGTTGCCCGGGTGCCCGGGTGCCCGGGCGTGCCTGGGGGTGCCTGGGGGTGCCCGGGGGTGCCCTATAGCCCAATAGCGTTATAGCCCTACAACTCTATAGACCTATAGCTCTGTGCCCTATAGCTCAATACTCCCCCATCAGAGCTTGCCTCTGTAGGGGTCCTAGCGGATTTGCTGCCGATTTTCGCGGCACGCCCGGGTGCCCGGGTGCCCAGGGGTGCCCGGGGGTGCCCGGGGGTGCCCGGGGGTGCCCGGGTGCCCGCGGGTGCCCGGGCGTGCCTGGCAGCACCCTGGTGCCAGGGTGCCCTGGTGCCCGGGTGCCCGGGCGTGCCTGGGGGTGCGGGTGCCCAATAGCCCTATAGCCTAATAGCCTTACAACTCTATAGACCTATAGCTCTATAGCCCTATAGCTCAATATTCATAAGGTTAGGTTAGGTTTGCCGCCGATTTTCGCGGCACGCCCGGGGGTTCCCGGGTGCCCGGACTGCCCGGGGGTGCCCGGGTGCCCGCGGGTGCCCGGGCGTGCCTGGCCCTGGTGCCCAGCGCCCTGGTGCCCGGGTGCCCAGGCGTGCCCGGGGGTGCCTGGGGGTGCCCGGGGGTGCCCTATAGCCCAATAGCCGTATAACCTTACAATTCTATAAACCTATAGCTCTATAGCCCTATAGCTCAATATTCACAAGGTTAGGTTAGGTTTGCCGCCGATTTTGGCGGCACGCCCGGGGGCCCAGGGGTGCCCGGGGGCCCGAGGGTGCCCAGGGGTGCCCGGGTGCCCGCGGGTGCCCGGGCGTGCCTGGGTGTGCCCGGGTGCCCTGGTGCCGGGATGCCCGGGCGCGCCCGCCTTGAGCATCCAATGCGCCAATATATTGGGAGCGCTAATATATTAGAACCGTGCCACCAAAATCTCCTCCGAGCAGATTCTATTGAAAAAGTCGATCCTGAAACAATCACCCCTAGCCAGGGGTTGTTGATTTGTAGACCCATGCGGGGTATCATTTCTTCAAACCTAGCGCAAGAGACGAACAACAGGCTGCCCCATAAACTTCGTCATGCGTGCCCTGGAAAACTCAGACGTGTTCGGAGCCCCCCCTCTGCGCTTCCCAAACGTCGCAACGGACCCTCCAAAATCTTCGTCTCTGTAGTTCCAGTGTTTGGGCGGTTGGCCTCCAGATGAACATAGCTCCAGAAATAAATGCAGCTTGGGTTTGATGCGAAATATGTCATCATGCGCGATGGCCAAAGCTGTGAAATGTTGCGCAAAACGCGTAGAATGTTCCAGCATCGTGTCTCTCGCCCAAGGGAAATTACCTGCAAGCGCAGCGTAGCAGCGCGACAAACTCTGCATGCAGAAATACATGGGAGACTCGACAGGGTCGGTCCTGTCGCAGAACTGCTCCGCAAGTTCCATACCCCATGGTATTAGATGCCGAAACATGCCAGCGCTACACCTGAGTTTGGGACGCTTGTTCGATTTGCCTTCAACCACTCCGACGCTCAAGTGAGGCAGCCTGTTCGGCGCGCCGTTCGGAGGTTGTCTATCGTAGAACCCTTGCATCAAAAGGTGCATCTGCCTCATTCGCTGTTTCTGCGCGCCGCCTGGGACTTTCCTCTTGACGACGCAATACCGAATCAGTGAACCCATGAAATCTGCAGATACACCCAAATCCGCGCAATGCAGCCAATCCAAAATCAAAATTCGCATACTTGCAAATGGAACCATGAGCAAGGGGCATGCGCGATGTCCAGAAGTTAAGATTGTCATCAGTAGTTCTTGCCATGATTTGCGGCCCGTGCGCCAGGACGCGTTTTGGCCGATCTCGGTAGAGA